TCCATAGTTCATCAGGCACTCTGTCTATCAGATCTAGTCCCTTAAATCTATTTTTCACTTCCACTGTATAGTCATAAGGGATTTGATTTAGGTCATACCTGAATGGTATAGTGGTTTTCCCTACTTTCTTCAAGTCTGAATTTTTCAGTAAGGAGTTTATGATCCGAGCCACAGTTAGCTCCCAGTCTGATTTTTGCTGACTGTATAGAGCTTCTCCATCTTTGACTGCAAAGAATATAATCAATCTGATTTTGGTGTCGACCATCTGGTGATGTCCATGTGTAGAGTCTTCTCTTGTGTTGTTGGAAGAGGGTGTTTGCTATGACCAGTGCATTCTCTTGACAGAATTGTGAGTTGATATTTGTGAAATGTTTATAAGTGTCTTGACACATAGTAAATACTGTGGAAGTGTCTGCTGGCTAAAATATATTAAATAAATAAAAATATACATTCTCTTTGACCTAGCAATTCTATTATTTTGTAATATATTTCATAGAAACAAAAGGATCTATGCATTAAGCTACATAAAGCCTTGCCCATATTGGGGGGGAAATGCACAAGCAGGAAATCATTGGTATGCCCGTTAACACAGGGTTCTGCAACAGCCTGGGCTGCAGACCCATACCGGTCAGAAACATGTTAGGAACTGGCGAGGAGCGAAAAAGGCTTCATCTGCTGCTGCACATTGCTCTCATTACTGCCTGAACCACCCCTTGCCACCCCTCCCCTCCCATGGAAAAATTGTCTTCCACTAAACTGGTCCAATGCATTATTAATAGGGTGACTGAGTCAATGTAGTCCATCTGGAATTTAATAGAGCTATTAAAGAATACATTAGTCCATCCTAAAGGAGACCAGTCCTGGGTGTTCATTGGTAGGACTGATGTTGAAGCTGAAACTCCAATACTTTGGCCATCTGATGTGAAGAGCTGACTCATTTGAAAAGACCGTGATGCTGGGAAAGATTGAGGGCAGGAGGAGATGGGGACGACAGAGGATGCGATGGTTGGATGGCATCACCGACTCGATGGACAAGGGTTTGGGTGGACTCTGGGAGTTGGTGATGGACGGGGAGGCCTGGCGTGCTGTGGTTCATGGGGTTGCAAAGAGTTGGACACGACTGAGTGACTGAACTGAACTGAAGGTTATGCTTGTAGACCTAGATGAGGAGTGTCCTGGACAAAAGTTAAATTAGAGGAAGAAGTTACAAAATAATCGTTTAGCATGATCTGATTTTTTTTTTTTAAACATCAACCTGCCCAAAATTGTTGTAGGTATGAGTCAGTTATTTAAGCTCTGAACATCTTGTTTTCTTCTATCTGTGAAGTGAGGATCATAATAATTCTCTCTTAAAAAACTCTGCCGAGGATTAAATGGGATGAAATGTATCAAGTCCTTAGAATTCTACTAGCAGCTGAAGAGTGTGAATATTTATGTGAAGTGGTTTGAAGAGCCAGAGGTGTGAAATATGCACCCAGGATGGTCCCCTGGTTGTCTCTGAGGTGGAGAAAAGAAATTCAGAAGTGCTGGGTGCTTCTGATGATGATTAACTCTGCTTTTAAAAAAAAATTATTTAATTGGAGGATAATTACTTTACAATATTGTGATGGTTTTTGCCATACATCGATATGAATCAGCCATGGGTATACATGTGTCTCCACATCCTGAAACCCCCTCCCACCTCCCTCCCCACCCTGTCCCTTTGGGTTGTCCCAGAGCACAGGGATTTGGGAACCCTGCTTCACGCATCGAACTTGCACTGATCATCTATTTTACATATGGGAATGTACATATTTCAATGCTATTCTCTCAAATCATCCCACCCTCGCCTTCTCCCATGGAGTCCAAACATCTGTTCTTTACATCTGTGTCTCCTTCGCTGCCCTGCATGTAGGATCTTTGTTACTGTCTTTCTAAATTACATATATATGTGTTAATATACAGTATTTTATGGATGGAGGCTAGCTATTACTACTTTAGTAACTTTTTTATGTTCCAGTAAGTTTTATTGGTAGTTTGGATACTATCACCATAACCAGAAACACTGAACTGAGAAAAGCACAGACGTAGAAACATACCAGGATTCAAAGTTTTGTAACTTTTTGAAGAGGCATTTAATAAAGAATATTTAAAGAGAAAAAGAAAGCAGGAATGCCCTAAATCAGGCCAACCTTCTCTGTCCGCAGCATCTACTGCAGAGGCTGCTCCAAGCCCCTGTGCTGCTCATGCGCACTCCTGGATAGGGACCACAGCGAGCTCAAGTGCGACATCAGCACGGAGATCCAGCAGCGGCAGGATGAGCTGGACACCATGACCCAGCACCTGCAGGAGCAGGACCGCGCCTTTGCGGCAGCGCAGGCGCAGATGCGCTCTGCCATTACCCAGCTGGGCCGCGTACGCGCCGACACCGAGGAGTTCATCCGAGAGCGCGTGCGCGAGGTGGTAGCGCACGTGCTCGAGCTGGAGCGTGAGCTGCTGGAAGGCGTGGGTGCGCGGTACCAGCGCGACTACGAAGAGATAGCGGGCCAGCTGGGCCGGCTGGACGCCGTGCTACAGCGGATCCGTATGGGCAGCGTGCTGGTGCAGAGGATGAAACTGTATGCCTCGGACCAGGAGGTGCTGGACATGCATGACTTCCTGCGCAAGGCACTCCACCAGCTGCGCCAGGAGGAGCCCCAGAGCCCGCGAGCCACGGTACACACAAACAGCTTCGACGCATTCAGGATGCGCCTGCAGGACCTCCTCTCTTGCATCACCCAGGGTACAGGTAAGCCACCATCACCTTATGGCTGGCCTGTTTACCCTGTGAGGGCTTGGGCCTGCCGCTGCCCCTGGGGAAAGGCGGGTGGAAAAGATCAACCCGGTGTGACGTAAGAGGAAACTGTGGGGTTTTTATTAAGTCTCTTGGGTTTGATCACATCATAGGTTACAGAGCGCAGGATAAGTCTGGGGGAGCGGAAGCCTGCAGCCACCCAGAAGGGTCACGTCTGACTGATTTACAAGACCCTAAGTATTAGTTGTGATCTTGTGACCCTCAAGGAAGTTGAAAGTGAAAGTTACTCAGTTGTGTCCAACTCTGCGATCCTATGAACTGTAGGCCTCCAGGCTCCTCTGTCCGTGGAATTCTCCAGGCAAGAGGGAGTGGATTAGGTTGCCAATTCCTTCTCTAGGGAATCTTCCCGACCCAGGGATTGAACCCTGGTATCCTGCATTGCAGGCAGATTCTTTACTGCTTGAGCCACTTGGGGAAGCCCCTCAAGGGACTTAAAAAACTATAAAGCTGAGAACCATACCCTGTATCATTTTAGCCCCAGAGGGGCCAACCACTTCAAGAGGTTCTCATAAGCCCCCTGTGTCCAGCAACAGAGAATTCAACAGGAAGGTGAGGTTTGGGTGGGGCTGAGAACCTCCACCACCACCACCGTTCCTACCCCCCACCCCCATCCCCTGGTTGGGTGCTTACCCAAAACCAGGCTAGGGCTCAGTGGAGGAGATCTTTTGCCCCTCGGACGGCCTGCCATCCGGACTAGCTGCCTAGCTTTGTGGGCCCTGCCTGGTATTGGGCCTAGGGAAGTGGGAAGACAGAGGACCAGTTTCTGACCTGGAGTTGTCCAGTCCAACTGGGAGACAATGTCGGGGCACATCGTGTGGCTGGAGAATGAGACAGTGCTTGGCTCTGCAGCCCAAATCCAGGAGTTACAGCAGCTTTCTAGGCGCTGGAGGCAGCAGGGAGGCTTCCAAGAGACACGGGGGCAGTCAGGAGGGCCTCCAGGGTAGGGAGGCCGAAATGGCTCTTTGATGAAATTTCTGGTTCTGGTGTGAGGATACCCTTTCACTGAGAAAAGGGAGGAAAGCCTCAGAATCAGAAGGTTCTTGGGCAGGTGGCAGTGATGGAGATCTGCTCACTCCTGCCCTTGGAGCTAGTGAATGTGGATTCATCAAAATGCAGTCCTAGCGTGGACCTGCGCCTTCTCCACCTGGGTGGTGACTTACTGCATGTACAGGACATGACCTCCATAGAGTTTAAACAGCTTGCCTCGGTGGTGGCAGAGAAAGGAGTTATTTTATCTTCCAGCATGATTTAGATTTAATAAAAACAGGCCACAAGTCAGAAGCGTGTCATGGAGCTCTCACTGTGCAGAGAAATCAGTGAGCAGTAACGCTGTTAGGATTGTCCGTGCTTTGCCTTGGTGGCGGCCCCAAGTTGGAGAGAGAGCTGTGCTTGGGGTCTGGAGCCAAAGGCAAACACTCTCCCATGCCATGCCTCTCTTCCTTGTAGGTGAGTTCATGCCCACTGCAATCAGGGAGCTTTCTTCCCAACTACAGCCACTCCATGGAGCTGCCAGAGGCCCTGGAAAATGGGTCTCCAGGAAAAGCAACGGGGATGTTTCCTTTGTCACTGTCCTCAGACAGGATGCCTCACCAGGAACGTCTCTGACCTGCCCATGACTTTCTTTGTGTTCTCCAGATGCAGCTCTATCCAGGAGAGCCAGCCCAGAAGCTGCCAGCGCTCCCAGAGACACTTGTAGCACTGACCCGGTGAGATGGAGTTGAGGTTTAAAGGGGAGGTAGTCCATCCTGCAGGCCGGGCGGGTTGGGAGTTCCCCTCCATCGGGAAGGGAACTGAGTCTCGCTGTCCCTATGTCTACAGGCAACAGAGGAGAGAGAGCACCCGAGAGAATGACAGCAAGGGCCTGGACTGGAGCCTTCAGTGGGAGGGGGCAGAGAAAGGGCTGGCTGGCTCTGGGCTCCTAAGTGCCATAGTAGGTCTTGATGTGTCCAGGAAGCATTAGGCCCAGGGGTGGACAGGAGATAAAGGAGTGGTCCCTGGCAGGCAGGCCCTTGATAGACCTGGCAGATGTCCCTCCCTTCTGTGTGCCCCACTCCAGATATGTGGCCCTTCCCCCACATATGGTTCTGGAGAGGAATGGAGAATGAGGCCAGGAGTCAGACAGTGATCGCAGCAGCCTGGGTCCCATCGATGTGATTTCAGGGCCGTCACAGTCCTAAGAGCCATAGTATTCAGGGTTGGAAAGCGCCCGCACTCCCTCTCATGTGGTCATTCCCTCTGCAGCACCGCTGACCTGCGACTGTCCAGCCGTCATGCACATACCTCCAGGGACAGGAAGCTTGCTCGTTCTTGAGGCTTGAGCCACTCCCATTTCTGCAGTGCTCTTAGGGCGCATCCCTGGGTGCAAATGCAGTGGCATCCTGTTAACCTGTCCTTTTGGCTACGTGCATGCATTTCTTCTCTCTCCCAGGATAAGCTTTTTCAGTTCCTCCCTGGATCGGGCACCTGGTCTGCTCCCTATCCTGGTCATCCAAGTGTGTGTGCCTGTCAAGGAGCTGGGCCCAGGATTGACTGGTTGTCCATGGAAAGCAGGTCTTCTGGTGAGGGCAGTCAGCCTTGCTAGCTTTGCCGTGGCTAATCTCTCTCGTAGGAGACAGAGATTGCTGTAGATTGAGGCAATTAGAAGAGGCTTCCCATAGGAGGCAGAACTTAGGACCTGAGAGCTTTAGAGTTAGGAGAAATCTTGGCATCTGACCTGCTCTTGCATAGAGAATGAAGCTAAGACCCCAAGAGAAGGTGTGACTTAACCCAAGGCCACACAGCATGCTAATGCTAAGGACAGGACTTGAAGCCAGTTCCCAACTGTCTTGGCTACTGCATTCCCATATACACACATATAAAATTTTAAAAGGACATTTAATTCTGGATATTTAGGACGAGTAATACAATCACATGGTCAGAAATTGTAATAAAAACATAGAAAGTGATAATGTCTCCCTCCCACCTTGTCCCCCATCTGACCAGTGTTTACACCCATATTGTTGCTGTTTAGTCACTGAGTTGTGTCCGACTCTTGCAACCCCATAAACTGTAGCCTGCCAGGCTCCTCTGTCCATGAGATTTCCCAGGCAAGAATATTAGAGTGGGTTGTCATTTCCTTCTCCAGGGAATCATCCCAACCCAGGGATCAAGCCTGCATCTCCTGCATTGAGAGGCTGATTCTTTACCACTGAGCCGCCAGCAAAGGCCTACCTATATTTCTATCTTTATTAATTTCTTGGGCTTCCCTGGTGGCTTATATCCTTCCAGAATTTCTTTATGTAGTTACAAGCAAATATGACTATATATTTGCTTTTTTTTTTTTTTTTTTTTTTTGGACAAAGGTAGCATAGTGCCGCAGATATATCATACCTAGGGCACAATCCTGTTGGGGAATTCTTATCTCATCAGTAGGCAGGGAGCTGCCTGATGCCTTTTTATATCTGCATAGTGGTCTGTGCTAAAATAGGTGTAGCGTGATTTGTTTAGCCAGTTCCTTGGCTTTTAGGTTATTTTGATATGATAGACAACGCTAGAATGAAAAAATGTCTTCAAAGAAATTGTGAATGGTGGTGACAAGTGCCCCAGGGCCACAGACTGCACTGGCTTCCAGGTGCCAGTCGTTAGTTAATGAACAGCAAGAGAGCCTGTGTTGTCTTGTGTGAAGACGGTCTAGGTGTTTTTCTGGGCCTCGTCTTGTGCCCTGTTGCTGCCAGCTACTAAGCAGGTTGAACTTGGAGCATCAGAAGAATGCTCTGTGCAGAGGCTTGGGGGTGAGGGTGGATGGATCTGGGGAATGGAAGTGGGTCATACACCATGAGTGCAAAGGACAGGTGCGGCTGCTTGAGGGAGGCAGGCATGGTCTGGCTGTGCCAGGAGAGAAGTACCGCTCGGACCCACATTCCTGCCTTAGGAGCCAGGACCTGGGCTTCCAGCACCAACACGCATCCCTCTTGAAACCGCTGGTTTAGTTTCATCCCCACCCCGTGCCTAGGTGGAGAGGATGATAAATACCAACTGGTGTAATTAACTAGGAGTGCTTGGGTAGGACAGCACCTCAGACATTGTCCTTCCTCTGTCTCCCTTGGTTCTTTCTGTAATGATGTCACAATACTTTAATGGAAAAAATAAATTGTTTTAAAACTGTAAAATAACTATGAATCAGTCATGATGATTTTTTTTTCTTTACTGAGCCCTCGTGTGTGTCCCTGCTTCATTAACATGGTAGGGGGTGTCAGGAAGGATGGGCAGAGGCTGAGAGGAGCCCAATTCTGTCTTTGGAGAGTTCACAGCCCACATGGAAAGAGGTTCTCTTGCATGCCAGCAGTTTTCAGAGACACACACAGATGGGCAGACCAAGACCTTTCCAACTGTTTTCATTTTTTTAAAAAATTTAATTTTTGGCTGCATTGGGTCTTCATTGCTCACTAGAGCTTTTTCTAGTTGCCGCAAATGGGGGCTACCCTCTAGCTGTGGTGTGCACACTCATTGTGGTGGCTTCTCTTGTTGCAGAGCACAGGCTCTTAGAACGCAAGCTCAGTAGTTGTGGCACACGACCTTAGTCGTGCCTCAGCATATGGACTCTTTCTGGACCAGAGATCGAACCCAGGTCCCCTGCATTAGAAGGCAGATTCTTAACCACTGGACCACCAGTAAAGTCCCCACTCTTTCATTTTTAATGGTGATCAAATACATATAACATAAATTTGCCTGGAAGTGGAATTGCTGATTCGTATAGTAATTCTGTTTTTAATTTTTGAGGAATCACCATAAAATTTTCCTTAGTGGCTGCACTGTATTGGTGCACCAACAGTCCACAGCGGTTCCAGTTCTCCACATTCTCATTCACACTTTTTTTTAAAGTGGTGGCCATCTTAAAGACTGTGGAGTGGTTTAAAGTTTTTGACTACCACCCACTGTAAAAGATATATTTTACATCTAACCTACTGGTGTATACACATGCACATTCCTATAGCTAAAACAGAAGTTTTGTGCAATAAATTACACTGATAAATGTGGTATGTACTCTTAAGATTTTTCTGTTCTGTAGTATTCTATGTAATACAAAAAATGCTAGTCATGACTTTGCTTCCGTGACCCATTCATGGGTCACAACTGTAATTTGTAAAACACTGGCACCAAGAGTACCCTGGAGATTATATATTTTTCCAAGAGGCCTGGGAGAAAATGACCTGCCAGATTATCACCTCCTCCCACACAACCCCCCACCCCCACCCCAAACAGGTCTGCTCTCTGATTCAGAGAAACAGCTCTCCTCTTTTTGTGAGGATGTTGAGAAAAAGAAACCCTGGAAGGAGGGGAGGAAATCAGTCCATGATACTCCATGATTTGGGAACCCACATTTGACAATAATGCACTTGACATCAAGAAGAGCCCCGCCTCGGGGTCCTGGTCCCCAGCACACGGCCTGTCCTGCCAGGCTTCCCTGCCTTCCTCTGCCCAGGCGTGGCCAGGTAAGCCCTGCCGTTCGCCCTGTGAGGGTGGGCCCAACCACGTGCGCCACCGCACAGGAGCGGACAGAGCCTGTCCCCATGAGGAAAGCACATTCCTGACCTCACCCTCTTACAGCCCAGTGCCTGGGTTTTCTAACGCAGCTCAGCTTAGCCAAGAGCCCCCTCCAGCTATGTGGATGGACCTCGGGCTCCGGATGGACCCTCGTCTGCCGAGTGCATAGGGAGTGTGAGGCGCCAAGGGGTCAGGATTGGAGGCAGGAGGGGCAGGCTGGGGCCCCTGGACTGAGCGCCGGAATCTGGGCCTCTCATTGCAGAGGGATGCTCACCACATCACAAACACCATTTCAACAAAAGCTCCAGCTTACTCTTGAGTTTCCCACGATAGGGAAAGATGGTGCAGACGGACATAAAGGAGACAGTGAGTGAAGAAAAGGGAGCGTACTCAGGCGCAGAAAGGGAACTTGCATTTCAGAAGCACTGGATTTGGACTTCCCTGGTGGCGCAGTGGATAAGAATCTGCCTACCAGTGTAGGGGACGTGGGTTCAATCCCTGGTCTGGGAAGATTCCACATGCCGCAGAGCAACTAAGCCCATGCGCCTAGAGCCTGTGCTCCACAAAAGAGAAGCCCTTGCACTGCAACTGGAGAGTAAGCCCTTTTTGTTGCAACTAGAGAAAGCCTGCACAAAGCAATGAAGATCCAATGCAGCCAAAAATAAACAAATTTTTAAAAAATTAAAAATAACACTAGTTTCAAGCCCCGGGTCCAGGCCCTTATTAGGTATATGACCTTAGGAAATCACTTCACCTCTCTGTGCCTTGGTTTCCTTCTCTGTAGATGGGCAATAATACAATATATATATATATAATATAATAATGTATAATATAGCACCACCTTCTTTTTTTTTAAACTGTAATTTCATTGTAAAATTCACATAAGAAAATTCACCATTTTAACTATTTTAAAGTGTACCATCCAGTGACATTTAGTGCGCTCACAGTCTGGTATAACTGTCCCAGACTATAGTTCCTGTACTTTCATTTCCCCAAAAGGAAAGCCTATATCCATGAAGCAGTCACTCCTCACTTTCCCTCCCCCAACCCTTGGCAACGCCCAGTCTGCTGTCATTGTGCATTTGGCACTTCTGGCTATTTCATATAAATGGAATCATAGAGAATGCGTTCTTCTGTGGCTAGCTGTCCACTTAGCATGATGTGTTCAAGGTCCATCCACCGTGTGTGGTCAGGATGTCATTCCTTTCTGTGGCTGAATGGGATTCTCCTGAAAGGCTACCCTACATTTTATCTCTTCATCCATTGACATTTGGGCTGCTTCCACCTTTAGGCTATTGTGAACAGGTGATGGGGCGGGGGGCAATGTCAGCTCCATGGAAGGGTCCCCTCCCTATTATGAATTTGCAGCTAGAGAGGAGCTACCGCCATTAGTAGGGACCACCAGCACCACTTCGTCCCTAGAGTTGTTTGTGCTGGTCTGCGCTTAGTCACTGAGTCACGTCTGACTCTGCAACGCCGTGGACTGTAGCCCGCCAGGGTCCTCTGTCCATGAGGATTCTCCAGGCAAGACTACTGGAGTGGGTTGCTATGCCCTCTTTAGGGGATCATCCCAAGCCAAGGATTGAACCCAGGTCTCCCACATTACAAGTGGATTCTTTACCATCTGAGCCACCGGGGAAGCCCCGGAGTTGTCTAGGCTGGGCCTACTTGTCAAGCGAACCTTGAGTTGTTGGGCACTGTGATCCCTGAGATCATCTTCTGGCACCATTAGGATTCACAGGCATTGACGTAGTCCCTGGGGTGCCAGCAGCTCAGGGTTGCCAGGGGGTGAAGTCATGGAGGCTGCAAGGAAGACTCCTGGTCCCCATTAGGCTCTCGGTATTGGACCAGGAGCCAGCTCTTATGTCTGGGTGAGGCCTTGGAGACTGAGCTGACCCCAGGTCAGGGAACCTGGCTGGTCCTACTGCCTGGTCATTTTCTTTCTTTCTTTAATATTTATTTATTTGGCTACACTGGGTCTTAGTTGAGGCACACGTGCTCTTTAGTTTCAGCATGTGAGATCTAGTTCCCTGACCAGGGATCAAACCTGAGCCCCCTGCATTGGGAGTGCAGGGACTTAGCCACTGGAGCACCAGGGAAGTCCCCTGCCTGGTCATTTCTGACTACTTTTGTTTCACAACTTTGCAGCCAGAGGAGGTGCAGAGGGACCAGGAGCAAGCCGCGGGATTGGCCGTGGTACAGCCGGTGCCAGGGGCACACCCTGTGCCAGTGTACGCCTTCTCCATCCAAGACCCCTCCCGCAGAGAAGTAAGATGTTCCCCAGCTCTCGCCTCCCCTTCCCAGGGCCCAGATCCCACTCGGTGGTAAGAGGTGGAATGGAAGTGAGAACCCAGACCTCAACAGGCACTTACTCTGCGCCCTCCCAGCCCTTGGTGGCTGTGTCAGGAAGCTCCCTTCCAAGCAGGAGCCCCTCCCAGGGCAGTCAGAAGCCAGCAGAGATCGGTGGTCAGTGGTCACCAGCAGGGCCAGTGTGCCTGCTGACCTGGGAGGGCCTCTGTGTAGAGAGGTGTGACCTGCATGGCAGATAGAAGAGGGGACAGCAGGAGCAAAGGGCACGGGGCGGGGAACAGAGTCCTACCACTCAGGTCTGGGTCTCTGCCCACTGCCCTGGTGCCCTGGAGGCTCCTGACCCCGCCCTGTGACACCCCACTGCACAGGAGGTCACCAACACGGCCACCCCGCAGAAGAGGAAGGCCTGCCAAACCGATTGCCCCCGGAAGGTCATCAAGATGGAGTCTGAGGAGGGGGAAGAGTCTAGGTTGGCTCAGAGCTCCCCTGAGCAGCCCAGGCCCAGCACCTCCAGGGCAGTCTCGCCACCCCACCTGGATGGGCCCCCCAGCCCCAAGAGCCCCATCATAAGAGATGAGCTCTCGATGCCTGACAGCAACCATCAAACCGGCGACCCTGCAGAGACAGGTAGGGAGTGGGGGTAGGCTGCACGGGCTGAGGCCTGCATCCTGTCTTCCCGGGGTTGGGTGGGACCCCTCCTCTCCATCCCGATGCCCTTCCCAGGAAGCCCAAGGCCAGCAGCATTCCCTGTGTGTCTTGCCCTCAGCTGCCACCAAACGGGAAGGGCAAGTCCAGGGTTTGTCTGGGTTGGGGGAGCTGGCGGGAACGTGGATGGTTTAGCCCATGCTTTGTTGGGATGCCCGTGTAGAGAGCATGATGGGCTGGGGAACACATTTCCTTAGCTCCTTCCCCTGACACACTCTTTTTGAACTCAGACCATGCCTCTGCATAGGCTGGGTCTCCCCAGACAATGTTTGCTGGTAGGTGTCTAGCACATGCTCAGAGAAGACTTGGGTAAAGTCCACACCCTTCAGTTCCCAAATTTTTTTTTACGAAGGCCATCCACCTAAAGTATCTCATTTGTTCAAGGTATCTTTTATGGCCACTGCCAGAGAGGGAGTCCTTTCATGTGAGTGGAGGTCAACCCACAGAATTCTGGAATGTTCAAGACAGTTCTTCCTGGAGCTGTCTTACCCAGTGTCCAGCTTTGTTTTCATTCTAGGTCCCATGCTGACCCCTGTCCCTGGTCACACTGAACCCTGACCCTGGCCACAAACTCAGCCCCAATGGAGAATCCTTGCTCACAAATGCTATTGGTAATCAGAAGGTTTTATAAACCTAAAATATCTTTTAACTCAAACATCTTGGTTCACAGAACTGAGAATTGGAACAACCAGTGTGCTGCTTTAGGATGGCCCAAGGTTCCAAACCAGGTGGTGCTTGTCACACCCCCTCCACGGGTAGTCAGTTCTGAATCATTCCAGGGCAGCAGCTGAATTAAGTCTTCACAGACAAGGCATAGTAGGCAGTGATGGAAAGCCACCTTGAGTAACCCCTCCATACAGGCAGATCCCGGCTTCCTAGGTGGCCCAGTGGTAAAGAACCCGCTTGCTAACACAGACAGACATCAGAGAGATGGCTTTGATCCCTGCCATGGGATGGGGACCCATTGGGGGTCCCCTGAAGGAAGGCACAGCAACCCAATCTAGTATTCTTGCCTGGAGAATTCCACTGGCAGAGAGGCCTGGCAGGCTACATCCACAGGGTTGCAAAGAGTCAGACCTAACTGAGGGACTAAACAGGCAGATCCACACTGGCCGACATGCTGAATGTTGACAGCCCCCTTGCAGGGCACATGTCACCCGCCCAGCCCACTGACCTGCAAGGATTCCCATAGGAGAACACCCCGGGCTCCGTTCACAAGCAGCCCTGCCAGGGCCTAACCCCATCTCCCTTGCTCCATTTCAGAGGAGCGCGTCGTGGTGATCAGCAGCTCAGAAGACTCAGATCCTGAAAACCCGGTGAGTGGTTCAGAAGTCCGGCCCAGGACACTTCCTCCCCCCATTCCAGGTCCCCGGGGGCAGAGCCCCCAGCAAGTGACTCTCAGACTCACCTTGCACCCGGGGGATTTATCAGCGAGGCAGTGAGTCCCGAGTTGTCCGGAGGATAGTCTCCAATTGCCAGCTGTGGCCTGGATCACCCCGGCCCTCCTGTCGTACCAGGGCAGGAGCCATCAGTAATCACATGTACGCTTTCTGAAGAGCTGGACGGGGCTTCCCTTCAGAGCCCTGTGTCTTTTCTGGACTAGCCAGTGCCTGTGTCTGCAGCTTCCTTATGCATTTTCTGACTCCTAAGTCTCAGTGAGGAGGGCGGACCCACACCCGTTCCCCCGGTTAATGGCAGCCATGCAGGGCCACGTGGGGGTGTGAGGGTGCAGGGCAGCACCACGCAGGGCCCAGACTAGAAGGTTGTGACTCCACATAAGCAGAACTTTGTTTAAAGCCATCCCACAGTGGGACAAGTGGCTGCATGGGTTGTGACCCTCCTGTCCCGGATGTTTGTTCTTAGAGGGTCATAGAGGCCGGGCTGTCGCCTGCCCAGGGGCGAAAGGGATCGGAATTAGAGTGGAAGGCTGGACTGGGTGGCCCCTGAGGCCCCTGCCAGCCCTCAGTCTGAGGTTCTGTGTTGGAAAGCGTGCGGAGCCCACTGAGACCGCCGTCCTGCCTCCTTCCTCGTCCGTCCACCCCCCGCCGAGAGCTCACGGAGCGTCCCACCCCCTCTGGGCCTCTCGTCTGTCCCGTGGCACATGCCGCCCCCCGGCTTGGCCTCCCCACCATCCCGCCCAGCAAGCTGCCGTCCCCGACGCTGAGAGCCCCAGCCAGCCTGCCGGTCACCAGGAGCAAGCCGCCGTCCACCGTGGGATCAGCTTCCTGTCACGCGGGGTGCAAAGAGCCCTGCGCCCTCGCAGCACCTTTCACCTGCCCCTCAAAACGTATGGTGCCCACACGTGGACTTGGCTTTCCCCCACGGGTCAAACCACCACCCCGGCCACCACTGGGCCTCCCAGCCAACCTGCCAATCCCCAAGAGGATCCCGCCCGCCCCCAAAGGGCCGGTGGCCAACCCCGCCTGTTGCGACTGGCTACACGACCCCTTGACTCCTTCCCCGCTGTGTCCCAGTGGCTCAACATCTTTCCCCTTCCTCACTCCCCTGGGATCTCCCAGCGTAACACCTTTTACAGGAGAATGATGGGGGGAGGCAGAGCATCCCAAATTCCTGGAGCAGAGGTCTCCCCTCGGGATCCTGGCAGGGCCCCCACGGAGAATCCCCCAGTCCAGGTCCCCATGGAGGCCTCTCCAAGTGCATTCCTACCACCCCACCCTCTGGAGAGGCCACCCACCAGCACAGACACCCCGCAGACAAGCCTCTGAGAGCCCCAGGTACCTCCCTCCTTTGCAGCCCTGGAGATTGGCAGGTTGGCATCCCGTATGTCTTGTCACAGAATGAAGCAGGGAATGAATGGCTCCATGGACCTCTGAACAAAGAGGCTTAAGGCCTCCCCAGCCAGGATATTCTGGTTCCCCACATCCTCAGGTCTCTTTGCCCAAGACGAAGCTTCTCGCACCCTTTGCAACTCCCACTGCCCCCTTCTCCCGCCCCAAGCCTTCCCACTGGGCCTCTGCCAGGATGTAAGCCCATGAGGGCAGGGACTGCGTGGCTCCCAGGCCCTGGCAGGTGTGGCTGCTCAATAAACACTCATTGAATGATTACCCTTGCAAACCCTTCTTCCATGACCGTCAGATTCCCTGCTGGGCCTACCTCCTCCCGGCTGGCGGTCTTTGGCTCCTCTGCACAGACACTTGGTTCACCTGTGGGGTTGCCGTGACCCTCTTTCCTCCATTCCCTGTGTGAGCCTCAGAGGTGGGACGTGGGGTCCAGGCCCTCTGTGCCTCCTGGACTGTTTCGGTTCTACTATCTGGCAGCATCCTCTATGCCCTTGAGGTTTGGGCTCTCCAGATGAACCCCCTTTCCCCAGCTCATCTCAGACATCCTTCTGCTCCCCACCACGTAGGAAGACTGCCTCCTAGGTTTCCTCTCCCCACCCAGGTCCCGCTTTCTTCCTGGCTGACTCCAACATCCACCAGCCTGGCCTCTCCTTGACGTTTCAAGGATCTTTGCCCCATTCCCCAGTAGCTGCCAGCCCCACCCCTCTTGCCTCCTCCCCCCAGACCACTGCATCACTGAGAACTTTCCTTCTCTAGACTGGCCCAGACTGACCATAGCCTCCTATTCCTTGAGCTCCCCATCAGTTATTTCCAGGACCTGGGCTCTCTCCCTCCCAGTTCCTTCTGCCCACCAGCCAGCAAGGTCCACCGTTTCAGCCAGTCTTCCGCCAGGATCTTGGTGCCCTGTCTCCCCACGGCCCCGCTCCTGGTAGCCGGCCCTCCAAATACTGCCCTGGAAGGAGGCAGTCGTGTCCCCTGCTCTGCACTGCCACCTGGAGGCCAACTTCTGTTGGAGAAAAGTCGAGGGGAGGAAAGCTACAGATGATTTGTCTCCTGGGCTCCTTGGCCTCCTGCCTAGGCATGCCCCGCCCCCTGCTCTTCAGGGCGCCTCGCTGCACCCCTACTTCCCTAGCTCTGGTCCCTCTTCCCCACCCTTGCTCTTGGCCGGTGGCTGCACCTTCTGCCCTAGGAGGACCATAGGACAGGTGGCATGGCAGCGGCCCACATCTTGCTTTCTGATGACTGATTGACCTGACCCCATCACATCCCTCCCCATCCCTTCTGTTAGGATGGTGAGGGTGGCCACCCCCCTCTAGGACTCACTCCTCCTCTTCCTGGCCCTGCCCTCCTGTCCTTTGGGAGCCTCCCTCCATCTCCCCATCCTCATTTGCATCTTCAAACACTTCCTGTGGGCTGTAACTAAGCACCCTGGAGAAAGTCCTACCATTGCATTCATTCCCCCCACACACACCATTTATGCACTTCGACCTTCATCCCCTAGGCGCTCCTTCCTTGCCCCAGTTCCCTGCCCTTCCCCACCATGCCTGTGAGCCCTGCCACCATCTCCAGATGGTGCCTCTGAGTCCAGTGGTCACCTTCAGTCCTAACGCCCCACAACTCTGCTTCCCTTGGCTTCAGGAGGTTTCCTCCTGCAGCTCTGGCTGGTCCTCCTCACCTCCGCTTCAGGTCTCTTCATTCTTTTAAATGTTGTTGTTTCAGCTTTAGGTTCTTGGATCTCATCTCCTTCTAGAATCTACACTGTCCCCATGATCTCAACCATGCACACGGCTGCCTATGGGCTCCTGCCCACCAGACCAATAAAGCCAGTAGCCGCGCAGTATCTCCACTCAGATGCCCCACAGAAACCTCAAATTCACCTTGCCTCTTGTCCTCTCTGTAAGTTGCACACATCTGCCTAGTTGCAAAAGCTGGGACCCCAGAGCTGCCCAGGGCTCCCCCAACCCTTTTTACTATTCCTCAGTGCCAATCACTTTGTGAGTCATTCCATGTTCTAAATTCCTCAGAAAGCTGGTTACTTCTTTCTATCCCATAATCTTGATAACATAAAACAAGGCTAACCCTGGATGGAAGTAGAAGCCTGGGAAAGAAAGAGCAAGAGAAGGATTTGAATGCTGTTAATCTGGCCAGACTTCATGAGAGTCAGGTAGAACTACTGAAACCAGAAATATTTTGGTAGTGTGGGGGTTGGGGTGGGGTCAGACTAGCACTTAGCTGTCAGTAGCGAGGAGCCAGTACTCTTGCCTGGAAAACCCCATGGACGGAGGAGCCTGGTTGGCTACAGTCCATGGAGTCGCTAAGAGTTGGACACGACTGAGCGACTTCACTTTCATGCATTGGAGAATGAAATGGCAACCCACTCCAGTGTTCTTGCCTGGAGAATCCCAGGGATGGGGAAGCCTGGTGGGCTGCCATCTCTGGGGTCGCACAGAGTCGGACACGACTGAAGCGACTTAGCAGCAAGGAGCCACTAGGTGCTATCTGAGGTTGATCAACTCAGGAAGGAGAAGTGCATTTCAGGTTACAAAGAATTAAATGATTAGAAGCAGCTGCTCATGTCTGGAGGCAAGAGAAACCAGAGGGATACTGCTTTTGTGTAGGCGTTCTTCAGACACAATTTTAAAATTAACCATTACAGGAGTCTGAAACTTACTGGAAAAAAAAAATTTAGAAAGCAAACAAATTAGATCCTTCTCAGTACATGCATCTCTCATCCACCTTCCGTGCCCCCTTCCAGACCCCTGGTGCTCCCAGAGTTCCTTAGCAGGAGGGGGCAGGGCGATGTCTGCAGGATGCTCCCAGCTCCCATGTCCTCCCCTCCCTATGGACTTTATCCATCCTGCCCCTGTATGAGAGCTTTGGAATGCCTGCTTAGTGGCTTCAGTCATGTCCAGCTCTTTGTGACCCCATGGACTGTAGCTCACCAGGCTCCTCTGTCCATGGGATTCTCCAGCTAAGAACACTGGAGGGGTTTGCCATTTCCTTCTCCAGGGGCTCTTCCCCACCCAGAGGTTGAACTCATGTCTCTTCTGTCACCTGCTGAGTTGTAGAATAGTGGCCTGCTAAGATACTGCGTTTTCCAAGTGTACCAGGGCATGCAAGCCCCCAACTGGTGCTGCAGCTGTGTCAATGGCTGGAATCCAGACATGTGGGGGCTCTGGCACTGACCTGGTATGGTGGGCAGGGCTGGGGAGAGGCTGCTCGAGAAGCACAGGTGTTCTGTCAGAGACTTCGCCCCTGCTGGGAGAGGCAGTGGGACTGTAGTCTTGGGGTGAAGGGGGAGTCCCAGGCCTGATGCTGGAGACCTGGGGTGAGGACTATGCTTAAAAATGAGGTGGGTCAGCCACACCTCTGCCGCGGGCCCTGTGTCAACAGAGCCAAAGGAGAAAAAGATAGATGTCCTCACCCACTCTTGCAACAGAAGATGCCCCAGTGCCCAGTAGCAGCAGGACCAAGTGGAAGCAGGAGGTGGCCTTGCTGAGGGGGCAACTTCCGGAAGAAGTGCATGGTGACGGGCAGGGGAAGGGAGGCCTGTGGGGAGCAACTGATCCAGGGGAGGGACCGTGATGCTGGTGAGTGTGCACACTGGAAAAAGAAACAGGTGCTCGGCTGAGAAGATGGGAGCCGTGGCCCCTGGAGCCTGCAGAAGGGCCAGAGCAGGAGACAGAGGGATGTAAGGACCACAGGCTGGCTAATGGGATCATCTGGGTTAACAGATAACATGTGCGGTATCTCTGGGGCCTTCAGGTTTTGCAAGAGCTAGGGTTTTCTGTCTGCAAAATACAGGCATGCATGTGTCTGGCCAATCTGATCCCAACTGTTGCTTGAGCTCAAGTGCTGAGAAAGTTCCTCAAGAGCCGAGGACTCTCTCGATTAGCATTAATGTCGATACTAGATACTTCAGGTGAGGATGTTGAATAGCAAAGAGTTTGGCTCCTGTCTGATTTGCTGATGCCCAAACATGGAATGAATCAGTAATTAGGACAGTTGTTCCCAATCCTGGCTATGTACTGCTATCACTTGGGGGTTTTGCCAAGGACAGATTCCTGAGTCCCACCCCCAGAGAGTCTAACTGAATTGCTCTGGGGTGCAGCCTGGACGTCAAGATTTTTTAAAATTGCTTGTGCACAATCAAGGTTGTTGTGTTCAGTCGCTAAGTCATGTCTGACTCTGTGCTGTGACCCCATGGACTGGAGCATACCAGGCTTCCCCATCCTTTGCTGTCTCCCAGAGCTTGCTCAAACTCATGTCCATTGAGTCGGTGATGCCATTCAACCATCTCATCCTCTGTCACTCCCTTCTCCACTTGAGGGATTTGATTGCATATCTGTGTCAAAGAAATGCTGCTCATTTGTGTACGTATCAGCCTTGAATAGAGGTGACGTATACATGCTGGGATATGATCCAGTTTGGAAAGGGGAGATGCTGGGTCTTTCCAGATAAACCTCCTATAAGGTTTTTTTTGGAAGGTGATAAGGTGTCAGCCTAGCGGCTTCCTAGGAGCACCTCGATATGGCCATTACACCTGTTGTGTTAAGTTGAGATGCAGTTGATCTGCTAAGTTGACTGTGATGGAGATAAGTGAAATTGAGCTCGTGAACCCAATTGCACATGTATCCTGATTGCCTGTGTATACTGAGAAATATCCCAGATCCCACATGGCTCAGTTTTGCAGTCAAAGAAACACAGTCCATTAACCAACTATCTAGTATATAGTCATCTTTCAAAAACTATTACAGAGAATACAATTCATAACTCACAGCAGCACTCCTTAAATCCTTCATCCCTTCAGGCTCACCACCATCATCTCCTACTCATTGATCCCTCAAAGCCTTTTCTCACTTTTCACTTTCCAGTCCTCATATGTGGGCTCTGATCTCTTCCCTGCTCTGGTTCTTTCTGCTGCCATTCCTTTCCCTTCCAAGCAAATCTCAAGCTTTTTCCAATGAAAGGCCCTCTCCTGGATTCTTGGGTTCAGGTCTCTGCTACTCTCCCCCTCTATGTTCCACTGCCCCCCCCCCCTTAATCTTGATTGTGGAATGAGGTCGAGGAGTGGCAGGCAGTGGGGGCCGTGGAAGAAGGACAGAAAGATATCCAGCATCGGAGCCTCTATGTGCTGATTTTGTTAACCCTGGGTCTTTAGGAAAGTCTTTTTTAAATGTCAGTACTTCCTAGCTGTACTGCTGGGATTTAAGGCAGGAATGGGGAACTGCTTGTAGTGCTAGCTGGAGCTCAGTGGAAGGCATTCCTGTTAGACCAGCCCGGTGGAATAGCCATACTTTATGGTCGTTCCCCAAGGGCAAGAAAAATCTGGGTGGAAAGGGAGTCAGGGCTGGAAGATTCAGCCTTCCCTCCCTTGACAACTTGATGGAAAGGGGTGTTCTTTTATTAAGGGGGCCAGCAGGGTCTTCAGTAAGTTCAGGACAAAGGATATTTCCATGACTATAAATACCTCAGGGCCATGGAAGGCTCTTGAAAAGTGAGGTTCTCGTGGCTATCATAAGTGACCCTGGTATAAAGATGGGGGAGTTGGCTCAAAGGTGCTGCTCTCCAGGGAGATCAAGTCTTGGAAAGGACTATCTGAAGAGAAGACACTGGCTTTCCAGCCTGAAGAGACAGCTCCAGAAGACAGACGGAAGCACTCAGGGCCACTGCGAGGGCTTCGGCAGTTTGGAGCAAAGAGAAGAAGGAATAGGGGAAGGCCATGCTGGTGGGTGGCAGAGATGACTCGGCCAAGTGGGGACGGCAAGGGGACAGCACTTCACCTGCAGCGCAGGGGAGGCCACAGCAACGGGAGTCCAGCTGTTTCCACCAGCCCCAGTGTGAGAGCACCACTGCCTTGTGATCAGGACAGGCACTGGAAGGTTGGAGGGAGGAAACAACTAGATTCTCCCATGGGGGAGGAAGGTAGTCTCCTGTCGGCACTCTGGCAACTTCAAAGAAGACTCCTGGAGAAGGATCCCTCCAGGGAGGCCAGGGAGCCCTGATAGCAGGACAGAGACTCAGAAAGACTTGCCAAGCCAGCCTTGGCTGCACGGCCAACTCAATGATACTCAATGATACTGATCCACAAGGCCTATGTTTTGTCAAAGTAGGGCCTTAGGTATAAAGTCCCAGAAAACTCACAGGCTGCTGTAAGCCAAACCAGGTCTAGATGGATTCAGTGAGTGTCTATCAGTGCCTAGGAGGAAGATGGTGCGCCTGGGAGAGGGCTATGAAATGCAAATAAAGCAGAAATCAGCCACTCACAGGAAAATTCCAGCACATTTTAATTGTGGTTAGCAAAGACTTTGCACTTGGCTGAAGTTTCAGTAAAACAGGCTTCACCTGGAGAGTGGAAGGGCCGGAGACAGTAGGATAGTTCTGCCCAGGCCAGGGACGATAGCCAGAGGTCAGAGTTCAGAGAGGCCTTGGATGGCCTCGAGTGAGGCCAGCTCCATCAGCCATCAGGGGCAGTCTGTCAGAGGGGAAGGCTGGGGCCTGCTCTGGACTCTGACCCTACAGCGCCCCCAGCGGGCCCTGTGACAATGGCCACATCCCTTCCTCCTGGTGTCTGGTTAACATCCACAGGTGACACAGGAAGTTCTGAGCAGGCCACCAAAGCTGAGCTTTGCCCGGTGGGCAGATGATAAGCAATTAACTCTACGTTATGAAAGGCTCTCCCTCCCTCCTCCACCCCAGCCCCGGGGGTTTAAACGCTTACAGCTAGAGGCCCTCCCATCCCCAGGGCCTTTCGACAGTGTTCACACCTTGGTGCTGGAGACAACAGAGCCTCAGGTGCCCAGCCTGCCAGAACCCGGGCCTTCAGCTTACCTAAGCAGCTGTCTCCTGGACGCCAGATGACAGAGAGCTCCCCGGTTCTGAGCCTACTTCTCCACTGTTCTCACAGCCAGACGCTGTGTGTCCCCTGGAGGTGGCGTTCCGGAGGTCGGACAGCCCTCCCCTCTCCTTCGTGCAGGGTGCCAGGACCTCAGCTCACTTGGGGGACAAGAAAAGCTAGGCATCTTGCCCCTTCCAGAGAAACACCTGAGGTTCGAGATGGGACTCCTCCCCCCGCCGCCCCCCAGTTCACGATGTTTGTTCTGAGTCGGCTCAAGGAGTTGAAACAAGGAGCGGACACATTGGGCCCTGCCCACCTCCGCCCCGACACCTTCCCTGAGCCTCCACACCCAGCTCTGCTCACCCATATGCACACTCAGCCACACAGTATCACACTTTCACACACACCTGTGTCAACACAGGCCCACAAAACCACACCCCCCCATAAACACACACACACACAATATTTGCATTCATTCCCACACTTCTTCACAGTCACTCACACTTCCCCCGTGATGCCATCCTACTCACACACTGACACATGTGTCCTGGTTCACACGCATGACCCTCACACATGCCCATGCACATTCACGTCCATTCAGGCACTCGCTTGGAAACGCCCCCTCCCTTTCCCAGTAACAGGCCCTCCCTGAGATGCACACAGACCCCCCTGCCATACCCATGTGCTCTCATCCGCACCCCGCCCCATGCTCACGCACACACCAGCATGCACGCCTGTTCACGGGGAACCGACTCTCATGGCCACTGCCCCCTCTTGGCGCCCACAGCCCCCTGACCTGTTGGCTTCTTGTGTGTTGCAGGACTCCCGAGAGCTGGCTGACAACAGCAGCGAGTCCAGTGACCTCCAGCTGGAGGGCCCCAGCTCACTCGGAGTCCTGGACGACAGCCTCTCCAACTCCCTGGTGGAAGACAAGCCCCTGGTTTTCTTTGACCTCAAGATTGACAATGAAAGTGGGTTCTCCAGTGGCCACCCCCCACCCCTTTCTAGCTCAGCCTCTAAGTCCCCAGGATAAGTGCAGGCAGAGCCATCTGTGAGCCCGGGAGAACCCTGAGCTGTGGCCAGTGGCTGCAGCCAGAGTGAGCAGAGCACCACAGCTCCCTGGGGCCTCGCAGGTGTTTGAACCTGGTTCTCTGAATAAGGACGTCTGCTTTGATCAGGGCCTGAAGGCATGAGGCAAGCACCTCCATGAGTCCCCCATGACTGGTGCTTCCACTAGGGAGCCTTGGGAACACACTTCTAAATAGAAACACAACGGTAAAGTCACCAAGGTGACACCAGCAATCCAAACACAGCCTTAGGCTGAGTGCAGAGCCCATTCGTTCCATGGTCGCTGCGAGGGGAGGCCAACAGAGCCAAGGTCACAGAGAGATGTGACCCCTTCTCCCTCAACTCTGCGGTGCTCACCCTGGCCCTGCGGGAGGCCGGGTCCCATCCAGTTGCCCGGGCTCAGCGTGGGGCCAGCCCAGGCGGACACAAGAAGCGAGTATTTCGTAGGACAGGGAGGCCGTTTGCAGACCTCACTGGAAGATTCGGGGCCATGCTCTGAATGGCCTGCTCAGGCAGGTGTGCTGTCTGACCCAGCGCTCTGACGGCTGGGGGCCTCAGCTACGTGACTGATGGGTTTGGCAGTCGGGGGGAAAGAGAGTGGAGGGTTAGGCTGAAGCAGTGAGTGGTCCCTAGGGCAGGTGGGTGGAGGCTGGCAGAAGACAGGAGGGACCCGGAGTGAAAGGGCTTGGTGAACTCCGGAAGGTGGCAGGGCAGGGGGGAGCAGGAGTCCCGGCAGGGGAGGAAGGGGGTTTGGAGGGCGGCCCCACCTCCCCTTCTGACCCCCATCCCTATCAGAGCCAGGGTCAGAGCTGCGTTTGAGGCTGACGTTTGATTCCTGCCATCAGGCCCCAAGGTGGGGTTTCTGGATGGTGGGGTCGATGCCCCCCACCATGCCCTTGGGACCTCACGCTGCCCTTCTCTCCTGCCCAGCCCAGAAGATTAGCCAGCTGGCAGCCGTGAACCAGGAAAGCCACTTCCGCGCGTACATCCAGCCCGAGGTGCTCAACGTGTGCTCCAAGGCCGTCTCCCTGGAGGTGGGACTGCAGCACTTCCTGCACTTCTTGGCGAGCATGCGCCAGCCCATCCTGGCCTGCCATAAGCTGTGGGGGCCCAGTCTCCCCAACTTCTTCCAGGCTCTGGAGGAGATGAACATGCTGGGGGAGTTCCAGAAGGCCATCTCGGGCTTCCTGGACACCCTGCCCCTCATCCGGGAGTGCGTGCCTGGGGCCAGCAGCTTCAAACTCAAGAGCCTGGCCAAGACCTACCTGGCGAGAAACATGAGCGAACGCAGCTCCCTAGCGGCCGTGCTGACCATGCGTGACCTGTGCCGCCTCCTCGAGGTGTCCCCCGGCCCCCAGCTGGCCCCGCACATCCACCCCTTCGGCAGCCTGCAGTGTTTCTCATCCCTGCAGCCCCTGGTGCGGGCGGCCGTCCTGCCCCGGGCCGAGGCCCGCTTGCTGGCCCTCCACAAGGTCACCTTCATAGAGCTGCTGACCGCACACCACCATGACCCGCGGGGCGGCCTGAAGAAGTACAACCGCTTCCTGAGCCTCCGGAACCCCGCGTCGCCCTCTGCCCAGCCTGCGCTCGACCTGCAGTCTCTGGGCACCTACTTTGAAGGTCTGCTGGGGGCGCCGGCCATGGCAGGGGCAGGAGACGTCGCTGCGCCTCCAGCTGGCCACAGCTTGGCAGAAAGGGCTACGCAGCAGACCTGAGGGGAGGGGCTGACTGGCTCAGACGCTCTGGGGACAGAGAGAGATGGGGTCCCTGAGCCCGCCCCTGCCCACCGCAGCATTCCCAGGTCCTGGTCCCGTTATCTCCCTTGTCATTTGGTCCAGAATCAGTTCTCCTTCTCCGGGACCAAATTCCACTTCTCTAAAAATTCCACAGAGAAGGTTCTGAGGCCAAGCTACCACCCGCCGGGGGCCACCAGATCCCTGGGCGGCCCTGGGAAAACCGTGAGTTAGCCCAAAGACCCCCCTGGGCCTCCCTCTCCAGGAGCCAGAACCAGGGGCAGGGTGAGGTCCCTGGTGAAAAAGGCCTGGCTGCTGGGCTCTCGAAGCAGCCCCCATATTGCCCCAGCCAACCAGCTCCAGCTTCCAGAGGGGTCCTTACTGCTCCCCCCTGAGCCCTGGCATGGCCCCAGGGGGCCTGCTGAGAGCACCCACGGACACTGCCTACGACACCAGGGGCCCCACGGGTAGGAAAGTGCCTTTCAAACCAAACCTTCCCTGAGGGCTTTGGGTTCTTCTAGCCTTTGACTGCCCGAAGGCCAGCCCAGTTCACGTCCCCTCTGGAGCACTTTGACCCCCAGAGGGCCTCCTCTCAGCGGAGATGGGGCCCGCCGCTCCCTGCTTCCAGACATGAACTTCCAAGCCTGCTTCCCTCCTCCTGGCCACACTGGGCCCTTCTCGCTCTCTGCACTGCCCCCACCTGCCCCAAGCCCTCCCGAGGTGTGACCTCCAACCCAGCACTGATCTCAGTGGAGTCCAGGGACCTGCAGCATAGGAGTCTCTGGGGTGGGGCCCAGCAGGCTGCTTTAGCAGGTTCTCCAGATGATTCTGAGGCCCGCCAAGTTTCAGCGCCATTGCTCTGATAGACTGCCTTCCCAGGAGAATCAGTGTGGAGCAGCAGAGTCCTGGCCCTAACTGTGTGCACTGAGTGGAACCCAGGAAAGGGCCCCTTCCTGAGCCCCCACGTCCCCACCTGTAAAATGGGCTGGTTAGCCCGCCCGGTCCCAGAGCTCCTATCTGGCCCCGCCGTTCTGGGGGTTTAAGAATGAACAGCAGGCCTCTGGGGCCGTGGTCAAGGAGGTTTTCATTCTTGAGCCCATGGCCCCAACCCTAAGCTAACTAAGGCCCCCAAACTTGTGCGGAACACAGGCAGGTGGTCTTGTCTGACCAGCAGAACCACTGCCCCTTCCCCTCTGCCATCCCTCTTCCTTGACGCCCTGATCCTGGGGACATCCCCATGGCCTCAGCTTTCACATGGGTGAAGGCTGTGTGCCCGCACCCCACTCCCCATCCACTGGGGACCCTGAAGACCCACAGAGGGATCACGTAGGAACTTGTTGCCATGTGAGAGTGCTGGCTCTAACAGCGAACTCTGATGCATTTAAAATCAGATTCCGACTTAAAAGTAGGCGCTGGCTCTGAAGCTCAGTAAAACCGGTGGCTTGGGTGAGGAGAGGAGGGGGCCGGAGCCTCAGTCTGTCTGTGATGACCATCTTGGCAGCAGGAGGGCAGGACTTGGTCCCCTTCTCACCACATCTTCCCCCCAGCCCCACCCCAAAACTGAGCCTGCTGATTTCCAGCTCCAAGCCCAGCCCCACAAGGCTTTCTCCCTTCAGATGGAGTTGATCACAAGTGTTATAGCAAAGGACTGTTCAGCTCTCTCGCCACTGTCCTAGCCTTTAATAAAGATGTGACTCTTCAAAGCCTGGTGCGCCAATCACAGACTCTGCCCATCCCACCCCAGGAGTCCTGAGCAGTCTCTTGCCTGGTGAAGGGGGAGCTTGCTGGCACAGCTGTTCTTTGTGAGGGGGTCTTTCAGGATTCAGCAGAGCTGAGGACCCCTCGTTGCTCAGTGCTGAGGGTCTCTAGGATATGAGCCCCCGTTCTAAGTGGGGAGACCAGGGTGGACCTGTCTGGGATCATCTCCAAGGTGGGTAACCACGTGGAGGGAAAGAAGCGCCGGTTTCAAGAATCACCCCCTAGGGGGAGTCATGGACCAGAGACCAGGGACCAAAGGAACTTTATGTCTGCCTCCTGCTGGGTAACGTTGTGCCCTGGCTGAACTCCCAGAGGGAGTTCTCATTAGTGCCCACAGGGGCTCCCTTGGCACGGGCGCTGTAGGAATTAGTGCCCCCCTGGCCTGGGTGAGGAGCCAGGTAATGTGATTTGATCAGTGCCTCCATCCTTAGCCTCACCTACCTGTCTCACTTAGTCATGTCCAACTTTTTGTGGCCCCATAAACTGTGACCTGCCAGGCTCCTCTGACCATGAAACTTTCCAGGCAAGAATACTGGAGTGGGTTGCCGTTGCTTTCTCCAGGCTATCTTCCCGGCCCAGAGATCGAATCCATGTCTCTTGCATCTCCTGCATTGGCAGGCAGGTTCTTTACCACTAGTGCCACCTAGGAAGCCCAAGTCTCTAATGGCAAATCCAAATACTTCTCCTGTGCTTTGAATCTCTGGATCAGTCTCGGTTTATCTGTGTCAATGAACCACAAGCTTGCTGGGCCAGAAGTCAGGGCACTGAGTTTCAGTCCTCACTCAGTAGCCTGTGACTGTGGTCTGGTGCATCAAGCTCACTGATGTTCAGGCTCCAATTCTGTAAAATGGTATAAGATGGGTCGTTTTTTACCTCATAGGATCTTGTGTGAACCAGTAAGGAGATTTGTGAAAATAGCCTTTTAATGTAGGAAGAATCACACAAATGTAAGATCTTATCTTACCGACAAACAAGACGACGGTGTTATTGCTTTATAAACAGAAAAAAACAGATATTGGATCTTAGTAAGCAAAGGACTTGGGCTTGCCTTCAAGGGGATGAAGAACAAGCTCTGGGATGGAGCAGACAGCTAGGGGGTGGGGTGGGGGTGGGGGTGTGCTGGTCCTGGGTCCCAGGAAGGAGAGCCAGGGAGTCTGCCTTGGAGAGGTTGAGCAGGGAGTGGCGTTGTGCCCCCTGAACACCCAGATGGGAGGTTTCAACCACACAGACCTGGAGCCGAAAACAGTCTTCCCGTGACAGCCAGCTCACTGACACCCCTAGGAAGGTCACCGGCAAGTCCACTTTCACCTCAACCTTGCCCTGCCTTTTACCTGCACAACTCCCAAGCCGCTGCTTCACCGGGCGTTGCTGTCTCCCCGAGCTGCACCCTCCCCTCATCCAGCCCTGGCCGGTCCCGCCCTTAACATCTACCCTAGACTCACTCGATCCCTCAGTCCCATCCCTGACAATCCTCCGCAACTCAGAGCTGACCCTTCACCCCGAACCTGCCCGAGGTCCCGTCCCCGCCCTGTCCCCACCTCCTCCGACCTCAGGCGGGCCTCCACCTCGCGCCCCAAGTGCCCCAGCCCCTGCACCTGGAGCAAGGGGTCCTTTCTCACTTCTCTTCACGCCTCACAACGAAGGAAAACTACACCGCTAGTGACATCAAACGTCCAGTCTGAGAGAGTCGCCCCTTGTGGATCTCGCCCAGACGGAAGGGGAGCCGAGCTGGAGCGGCTCCCAGACCGGCCAGCAGAGGGCGCTGCAGCCCCACCGAGCCCGGTGCTGAGGCTGTGGCTCCTCGCGGATGGGGGGGGCGGGGCGGGACGTGGGCTCAAGGTCTGGGTGGCAGCATCTTTTCCCAATCGCCACGCGTACCGCCGGTGGCATGGCAGGTATCTTTAAGTAGATGGTGCATGGAGAAACATTTTTAACGTGTTGACAACTTTGTATTTATTTTAACATCTATCGGAAACTGTATAACCAACCTATCAATGCCCTGATTTCTGGAATCTGGATGCTCAGAATGATGCTAAAAGAGTATTCTTTCCAGGTCTGATTTAAGGACAGCTATGAAGTAACTACAAGCTCAGAAGGAACACAGGAACAGCAAAACTTGTGACAGTGGAAGTGGAAGACTTAATTTGGGGAAATACTGCGTTTGCTGTTGTTCTGTTGCTAAGCCGTATCCGTGTTTGGTGGCTAAGTGTAGTCATCCTCTTCTAGAAGCATCCAGCAGGGATTCCACCTGAGCTCACTGAACCCAGGGAAGGACACAGTGACCATCCAGGTGTGAGTGCCTGGGACAGTCAGGTGACTAAAGCTCCCAAGTAACATGACTGAAAGGTAACTACTTGCTGGACACTCTTTTCTCACTCAGCAGAGCAAGGCTCATCTAATCTCCCCAGACACAGTATGCAGTTACATTATCATCCTCATTCTTTTCTGGACCTGGGATGGGGGCTAGGGCAGGAAGGTTGAGTACCTGGCTCCAGATCATTGAACTTGAATGTGGCAGAGTTGGGATTTGCCCCACAGGGAGGCTGTGTCTATGCTGGAGCCTTCTGTAGCCCACACTGCCAGGGGCATTGCCATGCCTTTGGGTGGCGGTTTCCACCCTCTCCTTCTGGTGCCCTCCTGGGCTGTTCGATCTCACACGATGCAAAATGCAGGGCCCAGAAAACTCACACCAAAACCTTCTGGTCCCAGGGTCCCAGAATTTGAACTTATCCTAATTCTATTTTTTTCTTTAAGGACACTGCTTCTCCAACTTCTTTCCCCATTATTGCCCACCTCCCCCCACTCACCCAAGGAGACTTTTTAGACAATGTTTTTTCCTAGTTGAGACTCCCTCCCATGAAATTTTAATACTTGATTCCTTAGGATTTTCTATATACAAAATTATGTCATCTGCAAATAGAGATCATTTTACTTCTTCCTTATGCAGATGTCCTATATATCTGTGTATGTTCTGTGGTCCTTTGGAAGGTCAGAAATCATTGGAATATCTAAAGTGCCCGCTCTACTCCGAACCAATTTTCATCCTCTCTGGGGTAATATGGCCCCTGTTGAGAACGCATGATATAGGGTAAGGCCCTATCTCTAGTTATAATGCAAGTCAAGAAGTCATGATGGGTGTCAGTCCCTCCACATGATGTTGGGAGCCACCGGGATGTGCCCAGTCTGTTACAAGGTCATGGGACGAGAGAGGAACCTGCAAAGCAGTCCTTCCTCACACAGGGCTGCCCCAGGGGCCCAATATGTCCCCTCCGGAGCCACCAGGACGAGAAAGGAACCTGCAAGGCAGTTCTTCCCCTCGAGGTTGTTCCGGGGGCCTGGTATGTCCCTTTCTTCCTTCTGTCTTACTGTTGTTGGGCTTTCTATTAATTTTTGGAAATATAATATATAGTAATAAGGCCTCACTAGAAAAGTCCAAGCCTTTTTGGAAATGCTCATGATTGCTCTGGCTCAGGACATGACCATAAACATCAAGTCAAAAAAGAAAAGGCCACAAGTATAGTTTGGCTGCTTGCTTAAAAGATTATAATGTTCTAGAATAGAAAAGAGTAGAGGCATTTCGATTTAGAAGTAGATATACTGCTTTAGTTTACTTGCTCCCTGGTTGAGAGGGTTTTCACTATTGCTATTTCCTTGCTGCTATTTGTTCATTGTTTCCCTTTCTTTAAACAACATGGGATATTATGGGTATTTTTGTAGAGTTAGGAAATGGGGTACACAGGATTTCAATAGAAGATTTATATTAACCAGCTTCACTGCCATTATCTCACTATTAATAGAGGTGTTTTGCTGCTTTAGAGGTGTTTTTGCTGTTTAATAATTGATCATTGTAAATTGAGATTTTGTGGTTTCAGGTAAAGAAAAATATCAGGTTTTTCTCATGGTACTATTCTCAGAAATGTCAAACATGTTACTGTGACCCTTCCCATGTATTGTTTTATTGTCAAAGAATTTACAATATACCTGAGATTTGTGGAACATTGTTTTTGTCAGAGTGAGAATGTTAGGCCATTGAGGCAAGAAGACTATGTATGGGACATTTAAGAATAAACCCTGTAATCGGAAACGTTCTAGATGAATGCGTAGGGGGAAAACATGGGGAAAAAATATTGACGGAAGCACAAACCAATATCTGATGTAATATGTGGTGACTTAAGGGGGAAGTTAACGTTCATTCTATAAAAACTGAGCTATCCTAAAAATTATAAAAAAGCTACCTCTTCTATGCAACCTTGTGTGTGTGTGTGTCTGTCTTCCTCGCCGACGCCAATCATCCCTTGGGTATTCCTGGTCCTGCTGGGGCTGGACCTCGGCAACATGGCTTGGTTCACGGTGGGGATGAGGTGAGTCTAGGCTATAGTGAGAAGGGAGGGAATGTGGGCAGAGGTCTCTGAGGACATGTTTCCCTGGGGTGGCCTTAGTCCTGGACTCAGGTCGAGATCCAGGCTGAGCCTGGGGCTAGGAAGGATGGGGCAGCACCATTATTTATTTTTGTCTCAGAATCCAAGTGTCAGCTCCAAGGCTTTTGAACCTGAATAAAGCAGATATGGGTCTAGAATTTCAACTGACTCCCCCTCTCAAAACACAAAACCCAAAGTTTGAAAATCTCTACCCACTCCTACAGAATGCATTTGCTGCCAACAGAGGGAAAAAATTCCTTCATTCTTGGCTCAAGGAACTTCCTTAAACTCAACCCAGAAGAATTCTTTAAAGACCAGCTGCCTGGACTATGCTGAAGTCAATTGATAAATATTATAAATATCCCAAAGTTGATAGCTAAGCAGATTACAAAAGCTAGCTAGCAAACCACAGAAATTTTCCACAAAGCTATCCAGCCAAATATTTGTGACCAGAAATGTTGCAAAATCCAGTGTCGCTTGTCTAATTGTCTAAAACTGAGTTCTTTGGGCAGACAAAATGCAGAGGG